TGGGGAACATTCGGACACACTGTGGTGCACAATGGGGCAGTTTATTAAACTCAACGAAATATGCAGTTAAAAATTAGCAACGAATAACATTATTATGTAAAGAACTGTGGGACTTCAAATTTTGAGATTTGAGCCACCTTTTACCTGGTTTTCATTTCCTCAGTTGGTGAGAGTCTTCCAAAAATCTATTATCGAGAATGAACAATGGCAAGTTGCAGGTGCTGTAATTGTAAACATATGTCGATGGAGTAGGCATTGAGTCTATTTGTTATATGTCGCACTCATTTATCTCTTTTTCGGGCCAATTATCTTTATTACAAAATCATGAAGGATTCAAATCGTTCTTCTGAATAAATTGATGTATATATATATGTGAATTGTGAAGTAGCAGGATCCGTAGAACAAAAACCAAAATGTGCTTTTTGATCTTCTATAGCTGCCATAACAAACAAAGCACTCAAATTTGATGGCCCTATACGGAACAATAACTTTGAGAAGACGTCAATATGTTTCAAAAATCACTGCATCCAAATTCACAACTATTTATTAGATTATTAGATTGAAAAATGAACACAAGGTCGTAAATTGATTTGGTCATACCAATGTCATCTGCAGCAGTAGAGCGCTAATTCAGTGCAACCGGATTGTTGTTGAGTATATATACGTTACGGTACAGAATTACGAACATACTAACATGTAGGCTACTTTGGTGACCTTGTCCTAGGCGACACCCGTGCAGTTGAAGCATTTGAGTTAACTGTGTTGGCGTTGCAGTTTGCACAATCTCAGATTAAAATACAATGGCTGCAATCTCAGCCACCTGTGAAAAATTGTATGCTACGAAATACGAAAAAATCATCCTCCAGTTTTGAAATTGTGGTGTCTAGTTTTTCTACATAGATCAGGGGTCTCAAACTCGCAACCCGCGGGCCAATTGCGGCCCGCAGGATGATAGTTTGTGGCCCCCGCCTTGGTATTAAAGTTTAATGTTAGTAGGGTAGTGGTATTTTCGTTAACCGTCGGTTTAGCTTTTTGACTGTTAATTTCATTATCAAAATTAATGTAATTCTTTTGGTTTTGTTAAAGACAAACAAGTAATTCTAAAGAATAAAGGCAAAAGGTCAACCGTTGTTCCTCCATCTCTAACTGGTTTTACTTCGAAATGCTGAAAGTTTGTCGCGCATTTGCAACTCGCCACGGCGAAACCATTGGGAACCGCTACATTACACCGATTTTATTTATCAATTTGATCCCTTCATTTTTTGGTGTTCCGCGAGGTGATATAAAAGGTGTAAGTGTTCCGCGGCCGAAAAAGGGAAACTCCGTAATATGAGATATAGTCACGTAGGCCAAAACAAAATATTTTATCATCTATCCCCTGAAAGGAATATGCGGTGCGGTAACCTACCAGTACAATACCTGTAGGCCTGATATTCGATCGCGCGACCGCCTGAAATAATTTAGATTTTAGAATGTTAAAAGTGATTCATGATTTTTGACGTCACAATCACTACCGCTTAGATTTATCGTGATACATTGTAACCATGTTTCCCATGTGGCGAAACATTACTGTCCATCGGATAAATGCTTGATTGAAACATCAGCGCAACAGTAATTACAAGATGGAATTTTATAATTTCGCACATCCCTAAACGTGTCGTTAGAAGGGAAGTTTCAGTAAAAAGAAAGGTTGGTGATGAGCACAGACAATTCCAAAAAACTGGGAAATGCAATATTTCTTTGTTGAGCATAGGAGCATCCCGACATGTTTTATCTGCAGAGAGAAAGTTGCAGTGCACAAAGAATACAATTTAAACGAGTTGCTAAGCTTTTATTGTGGAAAACGTGATGCGGCCCGGACTCATCCAGACTCTGCCCCAGCGGCCCCCAATTAAATTGAGTTAGGGACCCCTGACATAGATGGTTCAACTGTGTTGTGTGATATGGTATATTCTTTCTCCCGGTAGGTGGGAATTTGGTTCGAGATATTTATAATAGCAATACTTGAATTCTCTAACTAAATTATTGTTGCACGAGTTCAATGTGGATTGAAATTTTATGCTAAATTTCTGAATTGTGTAAGTTACGAAATTTGAGTTACAGGCTATATACATAATATGCTAATAACCAGCGCCGGATTAACCATTAAACAAAATAAAAGCACGTGCTTAGGGCACCAAGCAAAGAGGGCGCCACAGTAATTTTAGAGCAGAATTTTATATAGTTTATCGGTGTTTATTGAAATATTATGAGTTCACCAGACGACTCCAACTTTAAAATGTTTGCCTATTTTTCGTCTTCAAATATCATATTAACCTTCTTTAATAAAAATAAACACTGATACTTATTTATTTCACACGAAATGGGCCTATGAACCGTTTTCTCAAATTGTTGTTGTTTTTTCTTCCCAGTATACTCCTTGTTGCTGCATTTTTGTTTTAAAAAAATTCTTTTCCCCCTCAACAATTGCACCAATGAACTATTTGCACTATGTGGCGGTTTCACGATCGCATTTCAACGATCTAGTGGTCAGCGCAGTCGGGAGTTTTTTGATGAAGTAGGCCAGGCCCAAGGTGGTCTAAACCCTGCCATGCTGATACATTCCGTGCGGCCCACAGAACAATTTTAGCGTATATTTGTATCTAATAGTAGAACGTTTTTGAGTTTTTTTCATCTAATCCAACTGGGGTTGGGATCCCAAGATTCAAACCACTTTTTTTAATGCTTTGTGCCTTTATTTTAGTAAAAACACTCCTCTGTTTTCAAGCGTGGGCCATGTGATAGTAGTGACGAAACGCAGAGCCGACTTAACGCCGCGCAATCCAGATCTTTTAGTATTTCCCGAAATACCAACTTAGACGGACTTGGTTGTTATATGACGATGGCACTAAGCTTGCTCACGCTGCAAGTTTTTATATTACTCAGATATAACAATTCGTAACAAAATGAGTGTCATAAGAAAGGTGACACGAGGAAAACACGGCGGAAACGTATTTCCTTGCCCATCACACAGAGTTTGGTATGATTTCAAGTAATATCTGTCACGAAAGAATATAATTTGAAGCGACATTAAACGCGAGATGCGGAAAATACAACGGTAATTCTCGGGAAATAATTTTAAAATAACTGAGTTTATATATCATTTAAAAAAAAACGCCATTCATGCAACATAATAATAGTCTGATTAGAACGGTAAACTCTCGTTGTTTATTAAATTGAAAGTAAGTAAACTCGCGATATTTCGATCACCTTTGGGTTTTCTCCGACTTGCGGCCCGCGAGACTAGGTACTGGTAAAATTTCGGTGTTGTACTACAGTTGTGACTTGTATCCATAGGTATTTCGATTCACGTTGAAACTGGAGGCATGAATCTTTATTGTCACACTCCCTTAGGATTAGAACTCAACCGATATATCGGCCCGATATTGCGTGTTTGCCGATATACCATATTGGCAGTAAACGGCCGATATATATATCGGCTATATATAACAGTTAAAAAACCTAAAAATGTTTGTAAAAGTTGTTTTTATTTACTGTTGGTTGTGATTATTTTTAATGGATACAATGGATACACTTATGTAGTTTATTGTTTTTATTATTAAATTACACATAAGGGGGCAAGTCTTCAGTGCTTAGGGCACCAAGGGGGAATAATCCGCCCCTGCTAATAACCCAAATAGATTGGGTAGTTGAAAAACACTTTGAGAAATCCAAGGCTGTAATAACATGTCATGTCACACTCACAGAATATTTGACGTCATAACAAACATTCCTCGTCGCGAGAGGTGTGTGGGGGGCCATGGTCTCTATTTCTGATAAATAGAACGTTGATAGAAAAAATCCGAAAATAGTAGAAAAAATTAAACATTCCTAAATTTGTTGTTGCTTAGATAAATATGTATAGCTACATATCGATATTTTATCATTTCCAAAAAATAAAGGCATTATTGGGGTAAAATACTGTTCAATTTATTTAAATCAGTATATTTTGTTACGTTAACGGGGTACAGTTTTACAATTTGGAAAACTTCATTCTCGTCCTGTATTTAATAACTCGTAAAACGGAAAACCTTTGCGTGAAGAGTTAATAACCCGATAAAAAAAATAAATATTATCAGTTTCAATTTTTTTAAACCAGATAAATTCCTGAACACGCCTTTATATTTGAAAAACGACTTAAAATAAATAACAGTTCGATATTGAATGCCGATGCCCCTAGGCTTCAGCCTACCTTGCCTAGTGGTAAATTCGGCACTGTCAATAAGAACGAAAATCATCTATTGGTCTAAGACTTGTGCATTTCATGTACTGTACTCTTAATATTCAAAAATGTGCAACTGTTTTAATTCAGCAACTGACTTCTATATTTGCAACCAGGATACTCTCGGTTGCCTGTATTGACTTGAGTGACCTTGACTTAGAATTTCTTCATAACATAGTTGTTTGTGCGTTAAAAATGCTTACTAATAGACCAAGCTGTTTTCCGCAAATTTACAGTCCAGTAGAAATTTTAATCCTCTAGTCTAAACTAAAGTTTAAACCAATGTTTTGAAGTAATATTGAGGTAAACAAACCTTAATATATATATATGAAATGTTTGATCGGGTCATATGAGTCTAGTTAATTTCGAAAAGAATATTCCAGCGTGTTGTGCTTGAAACCTGAAAAAATCCCGAGTTCAACTATTAGAGAATATCAGTAACATGAGTCATTTATCTTATTTTATTTTACGTTTAAAGATATTTAGTTATTAGGATTCTGATATTGTGGCTTCATTTGTATATTTTTAAAACAAAATATCTGCCATGATTCTTGTCATTTGCAAAAATCGCCTATAACATTTTTCTGACATATTGATAAATTAAATTAATTTCTACGCAAAACAAAATTATATTTCATTGAATTCATTTTCGATTTCGGAATTTGAATTCGGTACTTTGTGTAAAAAGGGTATGCGCTCATAACCTACCATTTGATACCTCTAACACGATGGAAAATTTTTGTTACGTTATTTATTTCATTGTCACGACACAAAGAAAAATAAACACAATAGATAATATTCGAAATTTATAATATTATGTCTTTTACATGGTATATAAACAATAAAATCACGCCGTATTTCGTATTTTAACTGTAACCAAATTCAACTCATGAGGGTGCTTGGTAGAAAGCAGACTGCTCTACATAAGACTATGTTGCCTCAATTGCATCTTATGTAATATCAAATCGAGCTTTCGTCGGTTACTTCCGTTATTACTTCCATCTTTTTCCCGAAGCTCCTCTGTATCTCACTGAAGGATCTGTTCTTTGTTTCGGGGACTTTATAATAAATAAAAGCCACAGAAAGTAAAGCCACTATGCCATACGGAAGAAACGTGTATCCACCCATTGCAGCCTGTAGATAAGATAACCTTATGTTAGAAAAAATTCTGAAGTAATTGCCTTTGTCTTTGTTAGTCAAGCAACTAATTACAGTGTAACTCGCACATTTGTGATATTTATCATATAAACTCTGACCTAATATAAACATTTCAAAGGTATCTATCAAAATTGTGCATGGTATTATCTTTGATAAGACTTTATATTTATAATTTTTGTTTTCTTGAAATGACTGATTTCTGAAATATGGCCAAAAAACATTCCTCACCATCATGTATGGTGTCACAACTACAGTTAGGACAAATCCGATCCATAAAACTATCGTTGAAACTGTCACTGCTGCTGATCGTGACGTTTGTTCAAAAAACTCGGCGACAACTAGTAGTGTGGCTGGGCCCGGTCCAAGGCCAAATCCAACCCAAAAACCTGTTAAACATAGAATGTAGTTAGTTGATTGATGTGACGTGCACCTAACTGTTGCTTCGTGTTAAGGGATTTGCAGGCTTTTCTCGTGTAATGGGATGGGACAGCACACATTTGTATTTCGAAACGAAACGAAAACCGTATAATTTTCGGAAAATGATGGTAAAACATTTCGTTATGTACTTCGTGTACATATATTATAGAGCATAGCTCACTTGTTAGCTATAAAGAGTGAAATATATATTCAGCCTTAACAATATTTATACTTCGTGACGGGGCTGATGGACACAAGTATAAAAGTTATGGATATGAGGTTAACAAAGTCCGTAAGTTTTGTTGTTTTGCATGTCTCTTCGTACATGTAGTCCTATTTAATAGGAGCTAAACCTAAAATATGTCCCATGGACGTTTTCTTGGATGTGAGACACATTCCCCTACAATATTATGTCAGAATCCGAAGTCTTCAAAGAGTCCAAATTGAAATATTTCTCAGCACGTCGGGGCAATTGATGTCATTGTTTACTAAAGCTAACTAACCTATCTCCCAACGCTTTACCATCCCCATTAAATTCGTATTTTTGTTTCCACGTTTCAGATGTTTCATTCAAAATGAGAAAGTAAATATTAGATGACACGAATGGAAAATAGACTGTTTTGAAAACCGTTTACATTCTAAATGCTTTTCAGATAAAATTAGAATGACAACTTACTGTCGCCATAAACATGTAAATTAGTGCCACTTACCTAATGAGGCACCAACGGCAACGAAGGAGAATGCATTCGAATGCTGTCTTAGTTCAATTGACACTGTTAAAAGTATAAGACTCATTCCTTCAATGGCATATCCAGACGTTAGTAGTATCTTTCGTCCATATTTCTCCGTCAACCCAACCTAAATATTACAATATATGTAATTTGTATTCAGCTCTATAGGTTATCGTATAACATTCCGCTTACCGAAAATAATTGGAAAAATAGAATCAAGATTGTGACGCCTATGCTGCAATAATGAACATAACTCTGTTGAATTCCAGCTTGTAAATATATATTATTCATGTTGAAGGATACTCCATTCAACCCAGTTACTTGTTGAGCAGATGATATCACCAAAGCTGCTATGACTGATGAACGTAAAGCAGCGGAAGAAATCAGCTGAAAATAAAATTAACAATATATATATTAGCTATAACATTGTGTTTCATCGAAAATTGTTTAGTGTAATTTCAAGTCAATATTTCAATTCTTGAGTGCGAAAGTACACTGTTTCTTCACCTGTTTCACAGTCATCTGTTGACTCGTTTCCAAACTGTTTCTCTCCTGATTCATTTGTATAAGATCACGACTGACGTCTTGAACTCCATTCAAGCGTCTTAATATTTGTATGGCCTTTTCTTCATTTCTGTCTTCCATGAAGACTTTTCTGACAAATATTAGGTTACAAAATGTTTACTCAATCATATTCATAGTGTCAGAGAACGATTTTTTGAAATATTTGAAGTAATTGAGATGTTTTTTACCTTGGGCTTTCCGGCAGCGTCTTGTAGAGAAGAATGAAAATTACTGAAGGCAATCCTGTTATTGAGCACAACAATGGCCAAAATCTGGAATTTCCAAGTGCCTGTTGTATTGTCGATAAGATATCAGTATATTAGTTGAATTAATAGCATTATATAGCAACTAAAACTTTAAAATACCATAGAAAGTTTACAGTAACGTTTGAGATTTTAATTAGACTTGTATCGGATATCTGCCATTTTTCAGACATCGGTATTTTTTGATATCGGCTGAAAGTGGACCGATATCTCCGATACAAGTACAAGTTAGTATACGCGGATGGAACGTGCACGCGGCATTGCTGACTCATTAAACTATTCACAGTTAGTATAATGATCGATTTGCACCAAATATATGAGCTTATATATAATTCAACATGTATAGTTTGCAATCTGCGGACAACGAAACGTTTGGTAAAATTTGGTTGAAAGGAATGATAATCTTTGCATATGCACAAAGTTAAAATGCATTTTACCATGCAACTAATTCAAATATTCCAATAAGCCTACAGTAGTACATTTAGTATTACGCCACCTATGCATTTGGATCACAAATACGGATTTGAAGTTATTGAGTTAAGCCTACAGTAGTACATTTAGTATTACGCCACCTATGCATTTGGATCACAAATACGGATTTGAAGTTGCGCATTCACATGCCCAGAGATATATGTTCTTCTAGTTCACTGTAAATACTATTTGCAAACAAATATTTGATCCCATTCGCTCAACTTTGAACGTTGTACATACATTGATGATGTAATTACTTAGATAATATATATATTAGAATATCTTCAATATCAATTATCGATATCGACGACTTTTTATTGAACTTTTCATTGGTATGGAATCGGTATCGGTACATCTCTAATTGGACACGAAATGAACCTATGGAACGTTTTGTGGGTTTTTGTTGGTATTCTTGTTATTTTTCTTTTTTTTTATTTCAAAAATTTCTGTGGGCCCTTTGGAATTCGTTTTTCGCTATGAATTTGGTGTTGTGACGTCATCGACAAAAAATCTTGTGGCGGTTTCGCGTTCGCAATCGTTGCGTTCTGGTGGTCAGTCGTAGTCGGGATGTGTACCGTACGTACCGGTACTGTGAAAGATTTCATATCCATCATACTACTTCGTTTTGGCTTTCGTGTCAATATACTTTAGCGTAGCTCTCTTATTTGTTTAATATATACCACGCCCTATACCTGTGGTAATCCAAGTACATTTCCTCCGATTAGGCCGAAGTTTATTCCAACAGATATCAGAGATCCAAAAGCACCTCTTAGATGTTGAGGACTAATTTCAATAACGTACATTACAGATATACCTGAAACAAAATCGTGTAAATATAAACTACATAGAAATCGTGGTTCAAACAAACCTTTAACACAATTTAAAACACTTTAATGATCAATGAACCAGATTGGCTTTGAGCTGCCAGTCGTACATATGAAGGATTCTTAGATTAATTTTTCCAGACAAATTCGTACATTACTTTAATTCTGAACAAATATAACCACGTCAAACTATAATCGTTCAATAGTGCGATCTGAGTTTCATTTTCGACACGTACATAAAATCCGGCGTTGTTCGAAACGCTGGTAATCTATCCCTCATGTTATGATTAATGCGAGTGAGTACACCCTGAATTGAGACTTGTTATAATGGGAACCGTGGCCTGTCGAACATCAGATTGGATAGCAAGTTTTTTAATTTATTAGTCCAATACAAAAAAAAACATGCGAAGTCGAATGACCCTAAAATAATAATAACTAATAACTTTTATTTCGATAGTTAAACGCGATTCGAATTACAACAAAATGTTACTAGGTTTGATGAATTTAACTACAGCATACCACGTGTAGTAATGAGAAAATTTGATTTAATCATACTTTACATTTCTACAAAATTTGAATAAACCTTTTAACTGCAGCCTTTGAAATGTCATTTTCTTACCTGTGCCGATGGCGCCACTTGTAAAACCAATTCCTACTCTGCTCAATATTAAAAGTTCAGGAGAATTCAAAACACCCACAAGGCCCAAGAGAATGGAAAAGAACACGGTGATGACGTGTCCCAGTAAAAGTCCTCTCTGAAAGATAAATATATTGAGTTAAATTGGAAATGTTGTTTCCCCGTCTGACAAAAACAAAATGTTTGTTTACCAATCTTCCAAATTTTCGTACGATAGGTCCAACGAAGAGACATCCTATTATTCCTCCAATCGGATAAGCAGCCGATGACGTAACCCATATAGCATCAACAAATGATGATGGAATAGTCATGTTAAAACGACCCTGCAAAACAAACAAGCAGACATCATTTTTGGTATTTTGATATTTTTGGTTTCTTGTCGGTCACCAACGAAAAGACTGAACCGCCATATTATGCGGGCTATTGAATGAATATGATTCATTATTTAATTTGACGATTCTTGATATAGTAAAACATTGCAGTAGTAATGAATCAGCATATTGTTGCGTATAGATATCTTTGACTTGTTGTGGAAAGACATCAAAACACTTTAAAATAGGAAAAAAATATTATCATGGAGAAATACCAAAGTATCAGAAAAATTAGCGTCATATCGTCCTATGCTTCTTCTTAATTGTACAAACAAATTTCACTGATCCAACCAGAACGTGATTAAATGCACTAATGTGAGTAATCCTCTTACAGCAAAAACAGTCGACGTATTCCAAAGCATCGAGATTATTATTGGTCATAACACAAACACTTCAAATATTTTCAATTTCGAGTTCTTATGACCGTTTTATTGAACATTTCCTAAGAGGAGAATTAACCAGTCACATTCGATACACTCACGTACCATCAAAATTCCACTAATTTAACAGTTTACGTAAAAATATAGTTTTGATTTAGGGCATGTTTAAACTGCACACTGTAAAACCACTGTAAAACAACTATACCTCATACTGCTGGCGAATCGCATCTGTTACGGGACCATATGCTGCGTTAATTGAACCGATTGAAAAACCATATTGCCACAAACCCACCAGTGATACGAACGAAGCTGTCCACGCAGCATAGAATGTGAGTCGAGGACGATATTTCTAAAAAGAACGTAAGTTTTACAAGTATTGGAAGATTGTTTATTGGATTTTTGTTGGGTAAAAACCCATTTTTGAGTTCAATTTCAAAAATCGACTTCAAGTCCTTTTAGAGTTGTTAGTCATGTTAGATAGCTGTTAACATTCTGCGATAGCAACATTATGGGGTCGACTGTCAATAAACAATACAAAAATTTTTTAATGTTACCTTTTCGTCTTCATTTAACTCATTGGCCTTTGGACTAACCATTTCAGCAGTGCTGCTTTGAGATGAAGACCTTGACGAACGCATTATAATGTGTGTTTTCAAAAACTACAAAATATATATAGCTACTGATGTTTAGCTTAATTAGAAATAGGTATAATTTACTTCATTTTCCACATAATTCATTTTGTTGAATTGTCACATTTTATATTAGTGTGAGCATATTTCATCGTAACACTCCAGGTAATTAATCACTTCGAAACTACCTGTTTATTTCTATGATTTTGCAATAGTCATTCGTTTTCGAAGAGTCAGAAGCTTCTCTCCTATTTGAACGAAAAAATTGTTTTCCATGACAAAGTTTGAAAGAAAAACAATCATTGTTAGAAGCTATTTTCATTGTGCAACACTTCGTTTTAAAGTACATGGCATAAGTGAGTTCACAGCAGCATTATGCACTTGAATTATTCTTTTGAATCTATATTTCGTCTAAATTATATTACTTGCTTTTGAATAGTAAGTATCCTGCATTAGTACTACGTTACACTTAAGTGTCGATGACGTCGGTATTCACTTGGATATGACGAAAATAAATAAATAACATACAATCGGTAGGAATAATATTGCTGTCGTTTATCACCACGTATATATATACAAGTAAGAATATGTTCTCAACTGTATATATTCTCCCCAACAAACATATTTCTAACTCTGCCTCTATTACACAATGCTTTGAAATTCCATCGTATTATGTCCAAAGCAACAACAAAAAGTGCGGTAAACACTGCAAATGTGTCGTTACGATTAGTACATGTTTAGGTTTTCTCAGCAATAGTTACACGCAAATTGTATTTGAATTTACAATAGATGAATATTATTTGTTGATATTGTTGCTTAATGGATGCCTGTCGTGCGACATATTACCATTTTCAGATACAGGTGCTGTTCAATCTACTTTTAAATATAGTAATATTTTTTTAAATAACCCAAAAGGCCTGAGTCTCTAACTTATATCTAAGTAGCTTCCGACATTTCTGACTCTCATTCCAATCCGATTTCCATTCTTTGCATGACTGATCCTTTTATATTAGGTGTGACCAGTTTATGTTGTTTATAAATATATAATTCTAAACCTACCATTTGACCTCATTAATTAACTCTTCATATATCTTGAGGGCAGTCGCCTTTAAATTATATTATATTTGTCTTAAATAGATGCTGGGTCTGAAAAGCGTGAAATTAACGAGCAGCTAAATTGCATTGACTATGATGCGGTCAGAATCTAACTTTTTGCGAAAGAATTATGTGAAAAATTAATGTATACTTTATATTGTATTTTATTGCGAATAGGGAGTTATTTGTATAAAAACAAAAACTTTTTACGTTAGCTTTTGATGTTTAAAATGGATTAATTTCGAATAAAAATAATTAGTTGATATACATGTCAGCGACATTCCCCATTCTCTTAAAAGTATGTCAACAAAGCGCAAATAATTTATTAGTCAATAAATCCGTTAACTATTATATCTTTATGCTCCAAGTACCCACAAGTCAGTTTTATTTTATTTCCATCGAATAAAATGCGACCATACTATCTCGTGCAATCGGTTGGCTACTTGTCGATGTTATTGAACAAGTATCATAAACTTACTACAGTAAATCCTCAGAAACACTTTTGCAAATACTGAAAGTATATTTAAAAATGGAATGTAAACGTGACATTTCGTAGGCTTAATGGTGAAACCGACATTAGAACAATTAAAATCAAGTTGAAAATTGGTTTTGTAAATAATAACTAAATGCGGAGTAAGTAATAAATCATATTTTTCATTTTGAATGTGTGAAATGAATAGTGACGATTTACAAGGTATTATCACGAAAAGCATTCTAATATTATATTTGAGATTTCTATTCTTTGTGAAATGTTTTATGTGTAGTATGCATGCAATGAATAATGATGCATTGTATTGTCTAGTGGTTCCCAACCTTTTATGGCTTCCGGCCCCCTTCCCTAGGCTTTTAGCACTCATGACCCCCTGTTTATCATACCAGTGGTATTTATAGAGTTATTTTACTTGGTAGATTTCAATCTTATTACGTTTAAACAATTCATGACCAGCAAAGTGCAAACACCATGCGAAACAAACTTAACTTACAATGAAAATGGTAAGAACGAGGGGTTTTCTTGTCAATTCAAAAGTGAAATCAATCAGTCTTGCACCGTCCAACTCGTTGGTAGACCAGCGGTAACGAACCTGCGGCCCGCAAAAGAATTTCGTGCGGCCCACGAAGCATTCAGACGATTTAGTGTATGTTTGGCTTGAAGTCATAAACCTTCAGTGACTGTACATATAAAATGGGAGCGCCAGTATTACCTTTATATATTACTGACAACGTTATTTGCAATACATCTTGTTTTGTTGGATCAACAACGAATCAAAATAACCAAGGTCTTAGCCTAGTTACGTTGGCTTGTCGGCAAACGCATAGGTTTTGCGGGAGGGGTAACCTCACTTTGCGAAAATCTAATGTTTCGGTCCACGATACATGGGACATCTGAAAGTAATAAAAAGTTCATAACTTCAGCTCAATGATCAAAATAATGGGAGATGTTGAATTAAAGCCTACATTTTAAAAATCGGTTAATCGTTACAGGATGGATTCGTTTATATAACTTCTGTATCCGAAGGCTTGCGAAATACGGCTCTTTTATACGAAGCCCTCGCCACTAATGTGAAATTTGTTGACGACAAATCTGAGTCTATTTGAAACGTTTTACTTTATATCAATTTAATTGTGTGTTAATGTAACCTGCGGTTGCGTCGACAAAATATAAACATCACTATGAAATATCAAATTTCGCCCTGATATAAAGTGCTTAGTAAAGCAAAAAACTTTCCAAAAATTTCACTAAGCAAAACCTGAATTGAATGTTCTATTTTCATTTTATACTCCAATATATCATTAGATAACTTCATCTGTATGAATGCTGTTTTTTTTTTTTGTTGATGAAAATTAATAGGCATCATGGTATATATGACTAAAAAGTTGTGCGGCCCGCTTACTCATCGGTGACTGATAAAATGGCCCGCGAGGGCAAAAGAGTTTGTCACCCCTGGTATAGATAGACCATGTGCATCCCTTGTATATATGGCAAATCTTTTTTAGTAAATCGGTCGAAATCTAAATTTTTACTGCTGAAAGGAAGTTTGAGGGTCATAGATATTAAATCTTACATTATATCAATGAGAACTTCTTGTCATATTTTTTTTGCATATTTTGTTTCATATTTCTTGGTTGGTATATTGTAGTTTTGATCTTCAAGCACACAGCGCTTGTACCAGGACTGAGGCGAATTCTGGTACTCGAGGAGAAGAATAAACCGGGATTTGCATGATTACGAATTACCGAAAAACGTTTATATCGCTAACGAAAATCTTTTCCGGAATTGGGAGAAACTCGTAATAAAAAATAAGCAGCAAGGTAGCATCAAGTTCTCGCTTACATCCAAAACATTATTCGTCCCTCCTTTGCTTATGCACTTGCAAAATGGAACCTCGGTTAGGTTAGGTTAATTGTAACAGCATTGTTGCTAGTAGCTGCATTTTAGGTTGAAATATAGCATGTTTTATCTTCAATATTTATTACTGTCGTACTGACATATTAGTATTTCCTGATTATTCCATTGCGTGGCGGGTGCCGAAAAAACATCGCGGGTCACTTTATGGCGCGCGGGTCCGTGGTTCCCATCCCTGGTATAATTGAGGAATTTCGTTTTGAATATGTTTGACACTCGGGTTGGAGAATAAAATTTAATACATATCCGGGTCCCATCTGAAAAATATACCTGCCATTCCGAAGTTCTCTCACGGAAATGTAGCTAATGATAGATGCCAGCCGAACGCTTGAGCGCAGTGTTTTCCAAGCTATGGGTGGTGAGCCTAAAAAATATTTTGAGTCACTTGTTTTTTCAACAAAAACCCCCTAATCAGTGATTATATTTTCTTTCATTTTGTATTTGGTGTTGAGATGTTGGTCAATAGTAATTGTCAAGCACGCCACGATTTCCATGTCGTTGCCACGGGTGCGACAGCAGGCCGGTAGCACCTAAATAACCAGCGCGAGCTGCCCTATAACAAAGCCAGGATTTTGGTATTTTCTACCATCCTGTTCCTTTCAATTTGTATTGATTGGGATACATTTCGGTTTGTTTTGTCGCAATACTCATTACCCAATGACAAAAACGGAAAATTAATTCTATCAACGGATCCTATTTTCGGCACCACCTGCTACGTGATATCAAGAGTTATGTGATATCATTATTCGCATGATTCTTCGGTAGTATTTCATTGTTCTTGTTTTAAGTAATAGGTATAGAGAGCAATTACACTGTGAATGCGACAATATTAAAGAAGATAAAAGTTATTCCAATATTTTTGTTAAAGAAGATAAAATTTATTCCAATATTTACTCTGAAATGATGAGAATTGTGGCTTCCATGGAGTACACATTAAGCCAGGCGCGCAGTCAAGATTTTCAAAAAGAGGGGTTCAAAATCGAAAATTTTTCTTCCCTTCTGAAACAGTCGCCGCGATTACGCGCTCGTAAGATGGGTTGACTTTTACAGCGTATACGGCTTTTCTGTCGCGTAAAATATTCAATTCATGACAGCTACGAGAATCTATGAAATTTCCTTCTTTATTGATATAATTGTGTCCAACGTAACTCGTGGTTGTGTCCTCTTGCGTCAAAATATAAACATTACTATGCCTAATTGTATTTAGTTTTGATACTTTTTTGTGATCTTGCGAATTCGTTCTCGCCGTTAGAAAAATCTTAAGAGTTGTAATAAAAATCCCGTATGATAGAATTAAATACATATATATAAAGTATATCAGTAGATTGGCACGCGTGCCAGGGGTTGCCGACCTCTGTACTAAACCATCACTGGGATTCCACGATTACCGGGTATCACTCTGTTGACAAATTTACCAATATATATGTACTGCCCAGCAGCTCAAGCTGCAATTTCTACCATGTGTTACTGTTCTCTAGTGCTGTGTGATCTTCACGTTATATTTAGGGTTAATTATCATGTATTCCATTATTTTACATTTCGTCCTCCTCAGTGGCGTATACACGTAAAATGGCGCCCATGGCA